TTGGTTGTTGGGGTTTGTTTGGGTTTGGGAGAGGGGGGAGTTACCATACAAAGGGGTTCCTCTGTGAAAATCAGATTATGTGGGATGCTAGAGAAACTAAAACTGCTTTTTACTTGGACACTGTACCCTCTGAATACAAATATTTGATGACAAAAAGCACATCTACTTGGGGTTTTTTATGCTAGCATTAGGTAGCTTAAAAAAATTGCTTTTGCTTTTCAGATTGATTTTCAGGCCTCTGGGGTGGTGGTATTCAGAGTGTTAATGAATGCACTCATAAATCACACCTTATTGACTTCATTGTGAGGAAGCAATTTATGCATAAATTTTCAATATATAGTTTATAAAACCCAATTTTATTATTCAGATACTTGCATCAATTTTTATCCCTAGGTAGTCCTGGTTCGTAGTGCTTTTAAATATAAAATCCATGATTTGAGGAGAATTTAGGTGTTATAGGTCTGTATAATAACGTCCTTTCTTAAAACATTAATGAGATCTATTCTCCATATTACTGCAGCACTTCCCCCCACCCTCCTGCCCAGGAGGACAAAGTCTGCTCATGATGGGGAGAAAAAAAAAAAATCTCACTATATGCATAGGAGAACTGAGCTAGGACTGCAGTGAGGTTTTTGTTTTTTGTTTGATTTTTTTTTTAATAGCAGTCACACTGTTTCCCCAGCTGTTTGTGGCTTTCAAGAATCCAGATTGCAATTGTTTTATCCAGTTTTGAAACATCTGTAACAGGGGAGGGGGGAAGAATGTGATCATAAATGCTTCACTAGAGGAAATGTAAAACCTAGTTGTTTTTGACATCTACTTCTATCATGTTTTGGAAATACTGCAGATTCAGTCTCACCCCTGTGGGTTTTTCCTTTTGTTTCCCTCTTTTCCTATCCTTTTTCCCTTTTCAGCACTACCCAAGGAATACCAGAAGATAGGAAAAGCATTGCAGAGCCTGGCACTGGTCTTCAGCACTAGTGGATACCAAGGTACTTCTGTAGCTTCATTTGTACTTTACTTAACAAAAGATAGTTTAATTACAACATGCTACATTTTTTGCTAAAGATCTTAATGCTTTCCTCTTTGAACTTTAGATGTCAAACACGATTCTGGAAACAAATACTAAAAATTTGTTTCCCTGTGCATATTATGGGGTTTTTATATTCTAGTCTGCAATCTTGTTTTCTCTCACTGTATAATCATGTGGAGGGGTGGTGGTGGTGGAGGAGTTTAACTTAATCTCATTAATATGTAATCTTGTTACTGACCTTACTGACAAAACATGCTGTAGCATTTTTTTGTGATAACAAAGGAAAGAGGAGAAAGTGCAGCTTTGAAAGTATCTGTCACAGAACTGTTGTGTGACTTCATGAAACAACAATTCCACATGAGGATGGAAAACTTATTACAACATTTTTGTATACCATTATGTGGGCTGGAGGGTTGGCTACTGTAGTCTTTTCTTGTCCTTCACCTTTCCTTCTCCTTCAAGAGCTCTACAATAGAGCCTGTCAGATAAAGTTGTGGGAGGGAAAAGGAGGGCATCAATTGATAAAAATTCTCCTAAAATGTAGTCTTTAGGCCAAACTTAAAATCCTGCTTTGATATGTTAAATTCTGCTGATGTTTTCCATTTAACTGGGAAATATTTACTCTTATCCCAGAAGAAACTTACTGAGTCTATTTTCTCTGGGATTCTCTTGTCAAATGTGATTTGGTTTTTTTCCTTTCTTTTTTCTAGACAATCAAAATTGCCCCATTCTAAACCCCTATATGTTATAGCATAAAGGCTTCCTGAAATCTTTCCATCTTGGGACTTTTAGTTGACCAGTACTCTGACTACTCATCTGTCCCTTGCTTTCTACTCTTAAAGCTTTTTGACCCATAAATCATGTATTAAAATGCAACCACTTCTGAAACTCAGGTTTTCTGCTGCTGGAAACATTGGAAATAGGCATAGTACCTGTAGGTAGTTCTTATCTTTGTCTTGTACTTCAGCAGGATGACTGCTTAGTTAGAATTGGAGCACAGCATATTGCCTAAAACGTTACTTTTAGATGTGAGAACCAAGTAGGGGATTTGTATAGTTAGATACTCTGAGCATGGGTTATAAAACTGTGAATCCTAGCCAGAAACAATCTGTAATAAGATTTCTTGAGAAAGAATTGGAAATCATTTGAACTATAATACATCATCTTTTGCCAGGGTAAAGGGAAAACAATATGTCTTAAAGCTAGGATGCAAAATTGCAGAAAAACCTTAAGAAGGAAAGCTTCAATTTGATTTCCAGCATCTTCAATGATATGAAAAAATAGATCCCATGATGCTTGGGAACAAGGCAAGGATGTTTCTCTTCTGCTTTTTGCCCAGTTGTACTTGGTTGCACCCTAGTATCTTGCTGAGGAAAATGCCCTTCCCACTGATTGCCTTTCTTTTAATTGAATATATTTTGCTCTTTTTAATAACTGGTACACCAGTGTATTTTCTCATAATTAATAATAAATGGGATTGTTTGCTTTTTAATCTGAGTTCCCAGGAAGAGAGAATAATAAAAGTCTCTATCACTGCTGCCCTCACTCTTCCTGCCTGCTGTTGGTATACAATTTCATTTGATGATTGCCTCAGGTACAGGTCTGTGGATTAAGCAGACTCTATGCAAGAGACATAAGCACCTGGATTTAAATTGATAGGATGTGGCTTTCCTGATCTCAATATTTAATAGAAGTTCCTTCAAATGAAGAAGTACTGGATAGGCTGAGTATGGAGTATAATTTTTTTTGGATTATCAGTAAAGAGGAATGGCTGCTTCAGCCATACTTAAAGCCACTCAGTTCAATTTCTGCTTCTCTTCATGCTCTTTATTTTTTTTAAATACTTGAGTTCTGGAAGTTTAAGCATATAGGCAACTGAAGATTGCAGCAACTGATTTGATGACACAAATACTTCCAGCTGCTGGTAGCTGGCTTCTGACATACTGAATATGCTGTTAGTTCGTTCATTTGCGCAGTTAGGATGGGATGTATCTACTGTCCTTGCCTCTTTCATCAGTGCTGCCTGCTTGCTCTGCAGATCTTTATTGTGTGTGGTGAATGTCTACTGCCTTCTCTTCTGATTTCAAGACTAAAATGTTTTAAGACTGTACCTCTTACTTTTTCTTATGTTGCAGAATGGCCCTTATGAAATAGTTGCCAGCCACAGTGCATATTAGGAATCTGTCCCCAGTATTTGCAGAGGCAAGGATAGCTTTAAAACTAATAAGGACACACTGAGAGGTTCTCATTTAACATGGCCATGGGCCTGTGTACTGTCCAATTGGTTTTAAGAACACATGCTTTGAAAGTATGATCCTGTCCAAAAATGCATATTGGACAGTTCCAGCATATGCCTGGAAATGTCTTGCAGCCTGGCACTATATTGCCTGTCTTATTGCGTCATACGATGGTCTGAGGTTAACGCAGCCCTAAAGAGCATGGCTTCTCTTTTACGGCACTGTCTTTGGGCAAGTCTTTCTCCTATATTAAGAAAACGTGAATGGCTGCAATATGTCATTCATGTATAGTAAGATCTCCTCATCCTACATCACCCCTCAGGAATTTTGTTAGATAGTTACATGCAAGTTTCACTATCCTGCCAGCTAGCAAGAGGCACATCTTGCCTTCCAAACTGCTTGTGTGCTGAACATTATCAGTCTGAGGTGTACTTGTCAAGAAAAATCTTGTAACTAGCTCCCTAGTACATCAAACTTGATCTTCTTCTTACTCCTGGATTCTGGTAAAACACACTTTGAAAGAAAAGAAAACAGAAGCACTTCTTGACCAAAAAAAAAAAAATCCACTGCCCCACGTCAAGCCTTACAGAATATTAGTTCCCTCAGTATACCTGGTGTATTCCATCAGAGGTGGTAATCACTGGCATTTACCAAGCAGCTGAACTGCTAAGAGATACTCTGCTAAACATCTCCAAAAGACTCTTCATAGTTTTAGGTCTTCCTTCATCTCCCTGTGACAGCATGCCAGCCTGTAAACCAATGAAAACTTTAGTTTCTCCTTGTGGTTGGGTTAAAATAACCTATAGAATGTTACTAGTCTTTTTACAACTACCTTTAGTCACTGCTTTTAAGCCCTCTCTGCTTCTCATGGGGATATATGTAATGCATGCTGCCCTAATTTTGTTGTAAACGTCAGCAACATGTGGGTCTTTCTGCTTTCCCACTGATTAAAGAGCCCCTGGCATCCTGGTATATCCTTGCACTGAGACCCAGCTCAGTTTTCACAGCCTGAGTTATGAAGCCTATTCCCAGCTTTTCTTTGGTTCAGAAGCTGAGAATGCTAGAAACTCATCCCTGTCAGAGTAACAAAACTGACCAAAACCCGTGCTGCCAACAGTGATCGAGAGCAATCTGCTGCTGGAATTCCAGTTACTCTGATGGGTGAGCACGTGGATTGTGTGTGGTACCTCTGACAAAGGTGGACTGCTGTAGGGAGTGACTGACTGAGTGTGGCACAACACTGCTGGAAACATATTAGAACTTGGAGGGTGTGGCAGGTGAGAGATGAAGTCTGACACACCAAGGCTGCCCTGGCACTACCTGGAACAAGATTGTAGAAGAAAAGGATGCAGTGTGAGGAGCTGCAGATATTGGTCTACCGCTTGTTTGCCCTACTTTTGGAGGAGTGCCTCTGCTAGCACTAGAAACTTTTAATGCATCCTGTGCCTTCTACAAGCTGGCTTTGTGCCCTGCTGCCCCCAAATGACAGAGGATTGGTGTTGGGAGCATATGTCTAGAATTTTTTGAAGTTCCAATCTGTGAAGGTCCTTTGAGTTCTGCAAAGAAGGGAAGAAATTTTTTTCTACTCAAATATACATGCTCTTCCTCTTCCTTTTTGCTTAGATATGAATAGTCATCATCTTTTATGGCATTATGAAATGAACAGCATAGTCTAGACCAACCTGGCTTCTGACTCTAATGTCATACTATATTTTGTCACAAAATGTAGGAGTCAGTTGCCTAAGCAGCAGTTACTTCGAGGTTACTTCTCAGTACACATGGGGAATTCTGAAATAATTAGATTATTTAAGTCTACCTGAAATAATGAAATTGATCTCCCTGAAATTTTTTTTTTTTACTGTTTTACAACAATGTGAAGATATCTTCTGAATTATGTACTTCTTAGATCTTGCATTAGGATTTCATGCTGGTTTTATTTTTGTTATCCAGACAGACTTGAATAGGGGGAAAAATAACTATTTCTCTAATAGTGTTTGTGTTGCTGGACTTACTGGTTCTTAGGATCAGACGCTTTCTGCTTTATGAAACCAGTCTAATGGAAAGTAAGAATTCACTGATAGAACTGAAGCAACATTCAGTTGTTACCTTGTTTCTTTTAGGATGTGCTAAAATGAAGGAGTACTATCTAATAAATCTCTAGCATAGATTAGTCCATATGTAAAAGAAGATAATTTAATGTTCAAATTAATCACTGATGAAATCAATGTTTGGTAATTTTCAATTAAGTCACTGATTTAATGTCTATAGAATAAAAACACGATGGAAAATGCTTGTAAAAGACTAACTGCTACCTAATATCAAGACACATCTGAAAGGATGCGAAAAATCTTTTTTTCTTAAACTAAAATTCAATATCTGCAAATTATACCTTCCCCTTTTTCTACCTCAATTTGCTTTCCCTACTGTTGACTACATGCTTTGGACAAGCTAACAAGGATGGGAAAAACCTGTGGTGTTTTGGGAAGGTGAAGTGGCATGAAAAAAACCTGAGAATGTAAGGCTTGTTTCCATCTTTGTCCCACGTAGCCATGTCCTCCTAGTAGTACAGTGTTATGAGTGCTTGTGGTGTTACCTAGCTTAGGATTTGTGGTAATGTCTGTATTTCTAAGTGTAGTTTATGGGGCTCTTTGATGAAAGTTAGAAACTCACTCTCAAAAGCAGCAGTTGTTACAGAGCTTGAAAATATTATTCAAGAGTTCCCTAAAGAGTCAGAAGTCTTGTTGGCAAGGAAAAAAAGTTGGGCCTCCTGCTTCTCTGAGCTTCTAACAGTTACGGTTCAGGACTGTTGGAGAGCTTAGGTCTAGCATCTCTGCGCAGTAGGGCATAACCTGGAGCATTTACTGCTTATCAGGTATGAAAATAATTGATTAAAAATCAGAACAGCAGGCGTCTCTTTAGCTTTGTTAGTCTACTAGTGTTGCCCTCCTCATTCTCTCTTCTCTCCCATTCCGGAAGGCTTCCTATTGCCCCACATGGGGGAATACCTGTGTATTTAAACTATGTATAATTATGAAATGTGGAAGTGAATAGTGCTAGTACTGTGGTAGAACAGTGTTTACATGGTCCCTTTAGCATTAATTTTCTACAAGATCTTCAGAGTTTGTGTTCTTTAATGGTATAAAAACTACTAATACTTTTCTAACTTCTTTATTACTACTGTTTATAAAATGCTAACTAGACATTTACTGTAAAATAAGCTATTTTAGAAATTTTCCTTGAATTAGGGCAAGCTTCTTACTGTAATCGACTTACTGTAACTTGAACACTGTTTACTTTTAGGAGAATCTGATCTCAATGGAGCAATAACAGAAGCAGGAAAAACTTATGAAGAAATCGCCAGTCTTGTAGCAGATCAGGTGGGAGTATTATGAATGCATTGGTGTTGTGTGTACAAACACATCACCCCTGACTCCTTTTCTTCTCTGCTAAAACATAACTGCTAGTGCTGCAGACCAGTTAAATTAAATTATTATTAATACTTTTAAATGCACCTTCATCTTCTTTTCTACTGTGTATCAACTTGGGGCATGTGATGGGAGGGTATTTCTCTTGGATCAGAAAGGTCACATTCTGGTTTGTAAAATACTAAATTTATTACTTCCTCTTTAAATATATTTGTTTTCTGATGTCAGTGAGCTGTCTTCATTACTGATTCAAGTCACAAATTGTTGTTATCAGTACAATCGCATTACATATACAGATATGTACATGCACAGGTGCATCTCCTTAGTCACTGGCTTGGAAAGCTGTTTTAAGAACAGACTCACCCTTGAGATCAAGAGGATCTGCATTTTGGAGACTTTTAAGCTTAATACACTAAACATCAATTTATGACTTGAGTACTGATACCAATCAGGATGTTTTCAGCTAGATTTTTACTGAAGCGGGCAATTGCATGTCAAGACAATGAAACACAGCGAGATCTGGATCCTGTAGATGTTTGGGGAATGCAGGGGAAGGTAGAAACCCTATCCTTGATTAAATCTCATTCTTTTGTATCAGTATGTGATGCAAAATTCCTCACTTCATAAGCTAGTGTTGAGTAAAACAAAAAATAGAGGCATCTGCTCACTGGTGCTCAGTGTCTTACTCTAAAGAGCTTATATTTTAATAAGGACCTTTTATAAAATATTAAAAACTTGTACAAACAGTTAAGACTGTTTTGGTTTTTTTCTATTCTTCATTCCCTTTTTTTCCTTCACCCTTTTTTGGCATCATAGTTTCTTTTCTGATGTTAATATGCCACAGATACCTTTACTAATGCTTACACTTTCTTTATTAGCCGAAGAAAGATCTTCACTTTTTGATGGAAACAAATCATGAATATAAGGGATTTCTTGGTTGCTTCCCTGACATCATAGGAGCTCATAAGGTATGTCAGGGGCCTTTCCTTTTAAGGGTTGGGCAGTAGGAAGATCTACAGCAACAAGAGTGGTGGTGTGCTACACTGCATTTGTGCAGCAGCCTGGCCTCTGCTTCCAGAAACACTGAAAGCTTCTGTGAAGCTGGTGTGTTGATTTTTAAAATAAAAAATACTTAGAGAAGAGGGAAACTAGAACTTGTCTTGAGATTTGAAAATATCATGACCACCTGCTATATTAGAGCACTAGAAGCTTCGTGATTTTCTTCAGGTTAGCTTCATGTCACAATGTGATGAACAGCAGTAGTATAACTTTGTAGTAGTTGAGTCTTACATGGTAGTTGATGCTAAACCACATCAGTATTGTAGGAAAAATTGCATATGCTTACATGGCTAGCATACTGATATGTGATAAATAATCATGCACTGCCTAGAAGTTTCTTTAATATTGAAAAATAGAGAATAGGCCTGAAATTTTCTGGAGAACAAAAAAACCCAAAAGCACCAGCAACAAGAAACAACCACTTTGTTCTCTCTAATATGGAAGCCATCAAATAATAATACGAAAAGTTTAGCCATTGTGTCTACTTCTGGATATTCTGCCTTTTTTTGGTCCTAGAGTTTTCCTTACTTTCATCTGCCTGCTGTAATGTATTTTAGGAAACTGAAAATTTTGAGGTATTAAACACAAGTATTTTTTTTACCACTTGAAGTGTTAAATGCATGAAACAAGAACATATTTCTGAGAGCAACACAGATAAAACCATATCAGATTTGTGTATCCTTTCTTCAGGACACTCACGGTCCCTCATCCCACAGAATCCTTGGGGAAAAATACCATAAAAGGAGAAGAAATGTTTTTAAAACTTGAAACATAGGCCTCCTGCCAAGAGATGTGTAAATAGATTCTCTTGAATATTGTATGGCATAAATATGTTGTGAAGGGGGAGGTGTTTCTTTTTATGCTTGTTGTTTATGTGGCACAAGGATTTTCCCAAATCAAAAGTTATACATTGCAATGAGTTGTAGCTTCTTGGGAAATAGTTTATGTTTTCTGATCTTGTCTAATGTGCAAATAAGGTTCTACAAATATTTGATAGTTTGAGTCTTTTGGATGTCTGTTGTGTTGGTCAGCCATGTTTGGAAACTTGGTCCTTTTGTCCTTTTTATATGTATCCTTGTGTATTACAGCTTTACTAAACTCAGTTTCCTAGTGACTCTGTTTGAAGTCACTTCTTGCCAGCTATTAGGACTCTTGAAGGCAATAGAGTGAAATGATAAACTTTGGGTGAAAACATGTGAAGGCACAATCGGTTATTGTGTGTGTGTATATATACATGTATGGTGTGCAAGCTCAAAATGTGCCAGTGGCATTTTAGATGACTATAAAGACCTTTAAGTTGAATCATCTTAATCTACTCTTTCTGCATTTGGTTTCTACAGGGAGCAATAGAAAGAGTGAAGGAGAGTGATAAATTAGTTGCAACCAGTAAAATAACACCACAAGACAAACAGAACATGGTGAAACGTGTGAGCACCATGGCTTATGCACTACAAGGTAAACCAAATTTTGGGCTAAATGGCAGTGTTGTAGACCTCTGAAGGACATCTCAAGTTCTACCAGGAATTATAATAGCTCAGTGTGGTTTGGGTGTTGTTTGGGGTTTTTTTTGTGACCTGCTTAGATTCTTGTAAAATTGCAGTTATTTTGCCCATTGTTTTCTTTTAAATCTCGTACTGCTATTGCAAGAGATACATGTTTTGGAAATGGAATTTAAAGAAAAAAAACAAAACAAACCGAAAAAACCCAACCACCCCAGACTGATTCTTTCATTTTTAAGTTATAATGTCTCAAAGAAAAAGCATGGGCCCTGGTGCAGGAATCAGTTCATCATGTGCAGAAGTGTTTTTCTGACTCATGGTTTAGTCAGACATGATCCAGTTGAGATTCATGTTCTTGTGGGTAAGATTTTATTTCCTGGATGTTCTTTGAATTAACCTTTTCCTCTTTAGGTTAGATTGTCGTGGTTTAGGACAGAGAAACCAGGGCAGAGATGATGTAAACATGAGACACAGCACACCAGACTTGAAAAACCATGAAAGTGAGAAGTCAGTGTTCAGTCCTGAAGGATTATCAAACCCTTAAGTGCATGCTGTTACTGCCTTTGGTGGGACTACTCATTGCTGAGGGAGTTGCATCTCCTTTTACTGACTTAAAGCCAAGAGTACACAGTATTTTACAAGACAAAGTCAGAGCAGCACACAAAATGGATTTTAAAACCAAGAAAACTCCCCACCCCCTCCTTCCTGGTCACAATGATGCAGGAGGACTGTGCTGTGTAAGTCGTAATCATGGAAGAGAATTCTGGGATGACTTTTACAATCTAGAATATTTCTTCTCCCTCTACTGGTATCTTAAAATAAATTTAACTTTTTATTTCAGCCATAAGCTGTGATCAGAAAAGAGATGCAGAAAGTGGTGAAAGGTGTTACAGATTCGGTAATGCTGCTTCTCAGGTTTCTACCGAAATAGCTTCAGTCAAGAATGGGTCAAACATTACTGGCTGTGTCTTTTTTTTGAGTGAAATATTTACAGCTGTGGCTTACAACTTGATATCTATACCCCTGGAAATCTGAATGTCCTAACCAAATTCTGTTGGAAACACTTCAGAAAAGAGCAGTTACCTCAGCAGGAGAAAATGCTGCTTGTATTCTTTATCAAATCTTTGTACACCTGAGTATTGTAACAAGAACTTGGCTTTATCGAAGATGTGTCTATATTTTATCAGTGAGTAACTGACACCCTAAAAATTTTACAACAGTTCCATCATAACTTGAGTGCTGCAGGCAAAACAGGTTGTGGAAGCATGAGAACAGTAACTATGCTGGTAGGGCTGGACAGTGAGCTTGTTGCACAGTAACTAACCCCTGAACGGTTCCTAATTAAAAATGCTTCTCTTAAATAATTTGCATCCTGGGTCTAATTGCAGCTGAGATGAATCACTTCCACAGTAACCGGATTTATGACTACAACAGTGTTATTCGTCTGTATCTGGAGCAGCAAGCACAGTTTTATGAAACGGTAAGGTGTAGTATTTCAGTGCCATTTTCCTAGCACATACTGTGCTGCTACTTTTATAAGAAATACTCACAGTACTTTAATCATCTTTTTGTATGAGCTTCTCCCAGAGAGCAGATATTTGAAGAACTGTACTTGTAAAAACTAAAAAAAAAAACAAACTTTAAAAAAAAAAAACCACCAAAAATGGGTTCAAATAATATCTTCCTATAGATATTATTTTACATACATGACTGTCGTATTAGATCTTTTAGACCTAAAGACCCATTGAGAAACGTTATTGTTGGACAGCTTGATTTATTTTTTTTTTTTCAATGCCAGTTATAAGGCTAAAAAGAATTTTAGTTCTGTGATACACAGTAAGTAGGACCTGCTGCACTGAATACAACAATTAACCATCTGAACAAAACTTCCCTCCTGTAGGCTGGGAGGATGAAGGGAAGCTTCTGTGATTTTAAAGTCCAATGCATACAATTGTGGGGTGGGGTGGGGCTGGAGTGGTTTAAGTGACTTATTTAATATGTTAACTCCGAGCACTTGAACTACAACCTTAGTTCCATTTAAATTGTTCTTTTGTATGTATTCCGTGTGGTTTTTTTTAAATGAAACCCAAGAACAAATTTTTTTTATGTTGTGTGCTGGTAAAACATGTGAATTTGAGTGGGCTGGAACCTGGCCTCTGTCACTTAAAGGAGTAATATAAGTAACTGGTTGTCCTTCACAGCAGTAAATGGTGCCAGTGGGGCTTCAGAGGTATCTTTAGTGGATGAGAACTCCAGATATCCCATCAGGTCACCTTGCTCCATTTCTCTGACATAACTGATGGGGTTAGGCATAGTTTTTCCCTTACCTTCTTTTAGTTTCTTGTCTAGTCTATCCCAGTTCTTCTGGTTGCAGCCTCATGTGTCTCCTTGTACCAATCCTCTCTCCTCCAGTACAGGGACCAGATCCATGTTTACATGTGGGGTGCTGGCTACCATGGGAGCACAGGAGCTCTGTTCTGATGTGTGGCCTTGTTTCAGCAGGGAAATGCATTTCCGGAAAAATCTGGCTTTGTTCCTGTAGCCCTCCTGCATAGTGCAGTGCTAGATAACCTAATAGGCAGGGTGACAGTCCTGCCTGCAATACTTCTCTCCAACACAATCTGAGCAGTGAAAGCACAAAATGAACAAGGCAGAAAATGCATAGATAAGAAGGAAAGTCTTTATAATGGAATGCTTCGACAGTCCTATGTACACAAAATCTGCAGTAAAAACTGTCTTCTTTCAGAAAATGAGGGAACAATTAATTTCTTAGCTTGCAATCATATTTCTGTATAAAGTGATAACATATTTAATATGTTCTGTTCCTTTGTTTCAGATTGCACAGAAGCTGAGGCAGGCACTCAGCCGCTTTCCTGTGATGTAGAGAATAAGGAGTAGTCAACAATAAAGAAAGCTCCGAAGTGCTTTTTCTGATTTGGGGGCATTGCTAATAAAAACTTGTTAGCCTTTGCCAGCCAAAAAAACCCACCAAAAAAACCCCAACAACAATAAAAATTGATTGTAGAAAAAAAGAATTATTTAAAATTTTACTTTATCAGCCTAAATCATAAGATGAGGTTCTCTTATCTTGAATGCTCTCCCATTTGTATCATTATTTAAATAAAACCAGCTAGATAATGCTGTCAGTTATAGGGATCTAAATTCTCAAACTGATACGTTGCCATGGACTTCATGCAGACTTCCATCTATCAGATGTTCTTCCAAAAGCTCTTAATCAACATCAGTTACAAATGTGTATCTTTTTTTTCCAAGTGGGAAAGCAGACAAGCTTGAGAAAATTACTTTAATACTCATTATATTCAATTCAGCTCTCTAGAGATTCAGTAGCCAGGAGGAATTACATTTGTGTATGTTTCTGGTACATGTTCATGATAATCTCCTGAATGAACACTTCGTTCTGAGTTTTGCTTTCCATATGCAGCCATGGCATACTGCTCCCATTATGACTTCTGGTAAATACCATTCATTCTTCCCTTTCTTGTTTGTTTCCTTCTAACTAAATCTTCTACTGGTGGCACAACACCTCAGAGCTTATGTCAGGCTCTCTTTCTTTCTTGCTATGCACTGTGTAAGAAGACAGAGTACAAACTAGGAATGAGCTATTCAGGAAGGTGTGAAAAATTGTTTTCCAAACGAGCACTTTGACACCCCCCCCCAGTGTTATGCCATAAGGCAGTAGTGTTCCTCAGTGGTGTACAGGGCCAGCTTCCCTTTCACCCCTCTGAGAATCTGAAGTGTTTCAGCAGAGGGGACATTGCCACATCCAACCCAAAGTAGTAGAAGTCCAGAAATTCCAACTAAGCTCAAGCCTTCATGTAGCAGTATGATATGCTCCTGGCTTGGGTTAACTTCTTGTGAAGAAGTGGCCCAGTGTCCTCTTTCATACTACTGAAATATCATTTGAGGCTTGGGCTTTTCAAAAGAAAAATGCCACCACCAACTCTGTTCACAGTGGGCGCCAACTACAGTAATTCATTTCATGCCATAAGCAAGCCGGAAAGCCAAAATGCAGTTTTTGCTCAAATGTGCCTAGAAAATAAACATTTTGGCAAAAAATAACATTTTTTAAAAAGGCATTTTACCAATAAGCCATTGTAAGTGACGGGTACATCTGCTGGTTGAATAGTTGCCTTTTTTTTTTTTTTTTGCATTGGTGTTACTTTTGTGTGCTAGAAGGAAAATCTGGGTCTGCCTGAATAACCTGAAACCAAACCAAACAAGACTAAGCCTAAGTCTAGATGCTTTTCAGTGTCAGGGGTTTTGTTCACATTTTATAAACCTTGTCTTTTTCTCCTCCCAATTTTAGTTGTTTGCTTCCAAAATTCCATAGCACAGTGTTGTTTGATACAGCCATTTAAATATGTACAAATTGTAAAGAATGTGTATAAATGTTTTACACCAAATGTAAGATCTGCTTGCATGTAGAAGCAGCTTATATAATAAATTGTTACAATGTGTACAGTAAATTCTGAAATCACTTTTTCAAGCCAGCATTTTTTTAAGCATTTGTATATTCACTTTTTGGTAATGAAATCTCTTTGTAACAGACTCTTAATTTGGGAGGGGGAAGGGGAGTTCTTTTTACCAATCTTTAAATAGCTCCATATGCACTAAAGTTGAAGGTTCTTTATCTTTAATAGATTGTTTTGAAATCTAAGTGTAAGCTGTGTTTTCCCAGTGCAGGGAAGCGATGACAGTAGCAACTGTGTCAGAGATGCAACATTTTGGCAAAAAAGAAAAACTGTTTAAAGACTTCTAGTAAAATGAAGTTAAACTGATAATAAATATTTATATATATCCACCAGACTATTTTATTTTTTCTTTGAAATCATCATGTTGCTTTTTAACAGGGTGATGCAGTATGAGGCAAATCCTCCTTAGAGCTTTTCATCAGCTTACACACACTGGCCAGCCGAGGAGTGAGAAAGCATCCATGTGTCTTCCATAAAGCAGGCATCACAACTGAACGGTATAATAGTGCTAGTGACTGCAAACCAGCAAAGGCTACGCATATGGTGTAAGCTTTCATTATTCAGGTCAGTCCAGCTCGTGGTTGATGGAACCCTCCTGACTGCAAATAAGTAGTAGAGCACAGTGCTACTGTGTATTCTGGCTTTGTGTCGGCATGGTGTTGACCCAGAATAGAAATCAGATTGTTTTAAAATTAGACATGAATAGTGGCATAGCTAGGTTGGCTGAGTTGGGAACAACAGAAAATCTTCACACTGAAGATACAGTCATAAAACAAGAATAACAAGTCAAAGTAAGACTTAAGCAGTGCACTCCTGAATTTTGTTTGTCGTAGCTGAATAACTTAATCTGTGGAGCATCAAAAAGCCTTAATACTGTTTTCTGGCTTATGTTTTTCTTTGAGGGTGAGCCAAACACTGGCACTATCCCAGTGACTTTGTAAAAGACATCAAATGCCCCAGTGTTGGATTTAACTTTATATTTTAATTGCTTATTCCATTACTGCTAAAATACTACATCCCCATTTTTTAACAATAAAAATGTGGCTATACAAAGGGGAATGCTACCTGTATTTCTTGTCAGCAGTTAATCACACATGGGATTAGACTGCACCGTCAGACTTTGTTGTTGCAATGTATGGTATGTTTTTTGGAAGAGTAGTCTACTGCAAGTAGAGTATTCTTTAATGCTATAATGAGGCCTAACTGTGCATGAGTACTGAATTTTTTACATTTCTGAGCAATTTCTGTTTTCTATGACAAAGTAATTGAGAAAGCATTACCATAATATACACTTTATTCTGTAAATTCTGATTAAACACATGAATTAAATACATGAATTTTACTGCTACCAAAATTAGTCTTGTTGAGTGCAGCAGAATGATTCAGACTAACAGCTTTGTAAAGAAAGAGGTGCATCTCTTGTGCTGTAGTTTAGTTTGACACACACTAGACATTCTGCCAGTCTGGACTGGCTGAAAGTGCTCCACAGCCCTATGGCCTACAGCCATCCGCAGCAAGCAAAGCACTTGCTGGGCAGGCGTCCTGCTACTGCAGCTTCTGCCTTTCTTAGTGCTTCACACCAAGACGCATGAGCATACACCAGGGGAAGGTGAGTTGTGTTGGGGTCTTTAGTCAGTTGTTTTTTCCACTCTACATGCTTGCCATATTTTTCTATAACTCTTCTGATAAAGTTAACACTAACTGGTGTAATAACAAACAAGTATGGAACAGGAGAGGTAACCACTTGGGCAGAAAACCCCTTTTTTCTGTCTGAAGAATCCCTAACAAGAACAACCTTATAGAATTAGAAGCATAGGGACTGGAGCTGGAGACCAATCCACCCATCCTGAAGTGTGGCAATATCAATTATACCCATACTACTTTAGAGGACATCTGAGTCACAAATACACATTCTTCACTGATATCTTTTATCTTATGAAATGTCATTCCCCAAACTAACAAATGATTTGATGAACTGTTATTCCAAAAAATAGTTTTTCTAAAAAACATATAATGAAGTAGAATTTTAAGGATGTAATTAAGTTGCTAGTTCAAATAGGTTTGTTAGATGTAATCTCAGCAGTATAATGACAAATGGTAGGAGTATAAAAGTAACAGAAAATATAGAAAGATTGTGGAGACTTAAAAAAAAAAATATTAAGCCCTTTGTTTTCTTTTGAATTGCATGTTAGTTATTTGACCTTAGTTATTAGCCTGTCCCCAAAGACACTTGCCAAGAGCAAGAAATAGGGGACAAGTGATACACATGTATGCACATATATAGAAACGTGCAGCATTCGTGCTAAAGATTTCTGAGCCGGTCCCTGCAGGCTGACAAGTCCGCAAAGAAAGGCGTCAAACTGAGAAAACTGATCTGCCAAGTGGGTTGGTAACCAGGCAGGTTCTTTTACAATCTTAACAGAATTGATAAATGAAAGGGGAGAAGCGAGGGAAAACAGAAGAGAGACCTTGTCAGCGGCCAGCTTAGAAGAGGCTTGGTTAGAGCAGTGGAAGACCATTGCCTGAAGAGCTTGGAAAGGCAGAAAAAGTCTGTGATTTGGGGG